GGAATTTTGTATTTTTGTACAAATGATTCCGCGCACTGAGAAAAGCGTTCAGGGGAAAATTTTATAAAATGGGGGCACAGCTTTGTTTCCAATTCGTTGACCACATTCCACACTAGTTCGCAAACTGAGCTTTGGCCTAATCCAATCAAGTAATCGTTGCCAACTGCATTTTGGAAACCTCCACTGGCCAAAAGCGACAAAGTTGCCGCTAATTGTAGCACTGGTGGGACCGATGTTGACAAATGTCCTTTAAATTGCAGACGTGAAAGCACATACTCGAACCCGCTTTTGTTTAGTCTGAACCGTTTTTTGAAACTAGAAATTTGTAACTGATATTAAAATTCATTAAATAAACCGAACACAATTCTTACGCTTCTGCCGACAAAGCCATAGGATTGCTTCTTTCACGCATCTGTCTCCTTGCGACTGCGCAGTTGCTTTCATCTTCTGACTCCGAAGAAGTTAAATAAAAAAATACTACAGGATCCATCCTTATTGATGCAAATATAATTTTTTAGTAAAGTTTTCTTTAAATATAACGCATCACAGCTAATGCCCGTATGATACTACGTTTTTTTCTTGTATTTCGAGTGTATTTTACGCTGTATTTTGAAAGAAAGAGAAGGTCACATACAATTTCAGTACTTGTGTAAGCGAGTAAGCTATATACCAAAAAAACAAACGAAAAACTAACGAAAAACAAACTAGGTTGTTAAAAACAGTCCGGCCAACTTGTATTTCGTTAGGTTTTTTTGACAGATGGCTATATTTCGTTAGTTTTTTTACACAGCTGTTTGCATTTTGACATACGAGAGATTTTCTAAGCATACAATGGAAATACAAGTTTTATCTATTGCAACAAATTGTTTGCTAAACGCTGCTGCCTTAATACAGCGTAGGAAAAAGACTAAAAAAAAATATTCTGCGCAATGGCTTTTAAAAAGAGAACTGGAAGGTAAGTTTCGAATTCCACATTATATACACATGTATATAGTTCGTTTTTGTAATTATCAAAAATACTTTTCATAGGATTTAGCCATAAACTGTTAAAGGAAATTGAGTGCGAGGATTCAATCCTTCACAAAAATTCTTAAGAATGACTCCAGCTCAGTTTGCATTCTTATTAGAAAAAGTACGCCCCTATATTAGCAAGCAGGATACAAAATTCAGGGCTGCAGCTGACATTGCGATATCTATCCACTGGTAAGATATAATATTTTCTTGGTAATTTTTAGTACCGACATACATATGTATGTACATATTTCCAAAATTAGGTGAAACGCAAAGGTCACTTCAATTGCCGTTCCGAATTCAGCAGTCAACTATTTCCAGAATTTTAAAGGAATCAATTCCCGCAATATATTTGGCGTTAAGGGAGGAGTATTTGAAATTCCCTGCAAGTGAGCAATATTGGCGTGATATTGCAAAAGACTTTTATCAGATGTGGGGATTCCCG